CTCCCTCTCTTTCTCTCTCTCCCCCTCTATCTCACTCACTCATTCACTTACTCCCTCTCTCTATCACTCTCACCCTTACCATTCACTCATTCACTCACCGTCTCTCTCTTCTCATTCACTCTCTCTATCACTCACTCACTCTCTATCTATCACACACTCACACACTCTATCTCTCTCCACTCACTCACTTACTCTTTCTCTCTATCTATCACGCACACTCTCTTTCTTACTCAATCACTCTCTCACTATCACTCATTCACTCACACACTCTTTCTATCGCTCCCTCCCTCTCATTCTTTCTCTCTCTCTCTTTTTCTCTCTCTCTCTCTCTTTCTCTCCGTCTGTCTTATTCACTCATTCTCTCACTCTTTCTTTCTTTATCACTCATTCTCTCTCTATACTTCCTCTTTCTTTCTCTCACTCATTCACTCACTCAAGACAAGAAACTAACCTGGAATCCTCACTTGCAACATACAGTAGCAAAAAGTAAAATATCGCTAATGACCACAAGAAGGACCCGAGGCAAATCCTGAGGACTAAAACCGAAAATGGCCTATTGGCTATATACGGCAGTAATAAGACCCAGAATAACCTACGGATCACTAATCTGGTGGAACAAAGCTCAACAAAAAATAGCTACCCAAACATTAGGCAGCTTACAAAGATTAGCAAACCTATGTATCACAGGGGCGATGAGAACAACCCCTACAAACGCATTAGAAACCTTGCTAAACCTACCTCCACTTGAAATATTCATACAAGGAGAGGCTAGGAAAAGCTCATTTAGGCTCCAAAAACAATTAAATTGGAAAGGAACCAAACAATTCGGGCATACAACCATAATCAATAAAATCAGACACCCATTGTTAGAAATGGGGACTGACTACATGATCCCGGAAACAATCTTCACAACTTCCTATAAAGTCTCAACAGACTATAAAGGAGAGGAAGAACACAGGAAAGCACCAGATACAATGACATGGTATACGGATGGCTCCAAAACAAACGAAGGAACCGGATCAGGCGTTTTCTGTACAAGCCCAAAATATGAGCAATCAAACTCATTAGGGAAGTATACTTCGGTCTTTCAAGCAGAAATACATGCCATCAATGCTTGTGTCCTGGAAAATCTCAAAAGAGGTTACACTGACAAAAAAATCCTCATAAGATCAGACAGTCAAGCAGCTATTAAAGCACTGGCATGTAAAAGAATTACATCAAAACTAGTCAGTGAATGTATCCAAAATCTCCAAAACCTGGGAGAACACAACAACCTGATGATATCTTGGGTGCCAGGGCACAGGGGAATTCTGGGTAACGAAGAGGCGGACAAACTGGCCAGAAGAGGATCTGCAAGACCATACATAGGCCCCGAACCTATCCTTGGGATAACAAAAACAAACATAGATTCCTCCATCGCAGAATGGATCCAAACAAAACAAAGAGAGAAGTGGATAAACTCTAGCGGTGCTAGACATAGTAAACTTATGCTGAAACAACCCTCACCAAAATTGCCAAAAACACTGCTGCAATTGGAGAGGGCAAAACTCAGAGGAGTGGTGGGACTACTAACCGGTCACTGGTATCTGAGAAAACATCTACACAACGATGACCCCATTTGCAGATTATGTAATGAGGAGGAGGAAACAGCCACTCATATCATCTTCGAATGCGAAGCAACAGCTCAATGGAGGTTTAACCTAGCGTACGAAAAAGACACAGGGAACCAAATTGCAGCAATAACAGTCAATGACTTGATGCTTCTGAGAAGAAGGATTGAGTCTATTGACTAAACTAGGGAACTGGGAAGGTACAATAAGCCAGAAGGCTGCAGTGCCCGGGGAGTGCAAACCCCGCTTCCTAGTATCCTTTTCTACCATACCATACCACAATCTCACACTCACTCTTTCACTTTATCTCTAACACTCATTCACACACTCCCTCTCTCTATCACTCACTCACACTCTCTTACTTACTCATTCACTCTCTCTCTCACTATCACTCATTCAGTCACTCACTCTCTCTGTCACTCCCTCCGTCCCTTTCTCTCTCTCTATCTTACTCACTCATTCATTCACTCTCTCTCTCTCTCTCTATCACTCATTAACACTCTCTCCCTTACCCATTCACTCACTCTCTCTCTCTATCACTCTCACACTCTATCTCTCTCTAGCACTCACTCACTCAGTCACTCACTTTCTCTCTCTATTGCCCATTTACTCACTCTCTCTTTCTTTCTCGCAGTCCTTCTCTCACTCACTTACACTGACTATCTCACATTCACTCTTTCACTCTCTCTCTATTTCTCTCTCTCTCTCTCCCTCTCTCTCTCTCTCTCTCTCTCTCTCTCTCTCTCTCTCTCTCCCTCTATCTTTCCTCTTAATAATTGATAACAGATTGCTCGCGACCTAAATTTTGCAAGCTTTTTATAATAAAACGAGATTTATTCATTTATTAATTCATCCTTTGTCTATCTTTATTCTAACACACTTTTTGTCCTATCGTTAATTGTAAGAGAGGCCGTTCTCGATCTAAATTTGCGAGTTTTTTTTCAACAAATTGCTATTCGCTCATTCTCTCTCGAATCCCCTCTGTTTCTTTACTGTGTTTTGACTGCATTTATGAGTTGATCTAATTTAAGTTTTATCTAAATATAAATATCAATTGGAAAGTCAATAAAAAAATTGTCAACTGCATTGTTGTTTAATTGTAATTTTAATATAAATTGTATTTGCCCATCTCTCTGATAATTACTATTAGAACAGGCCATGAGTGGAATACAGTTGACCCCTGATTAATTGTCCGCGTCGGGCGCAAAACGTTCCAGTTTGAAATGTTAATAATGTGATTTCCAGGGACATAATTTAAATCTTGTTCTACACATCGAGTTGAAATATTCGGTTGGTCGAGGCTCTACGAAATAAATCACAGCAGAAAAAAAATACAGCAAGCTCTATAAAATCACACATCAAAGGGTTTCTTCATTTATGCGCACTAATGGTAGTTTCAGTACTTTGAAAAAAGATATTAATGTCTGCTCTTTTAAAAAGATCTACTATTTCCGGCAGGGCCTTTTTCTCCTTTTTTCTACACGGCCTTTTTGACATTAAACTTATTAAATTTCAGATTAAATGAAAATTAAAAGCAGTAATTAAATGTTTTCTCGCCCTTGACGGCATTTTAACAAAACATGAAACCTCAACATCTTTAGAAAATCAGTTTCTCAATTAGTTAAGTTAATTTTTTATAAAATTAGTAAATAAATTTTGTCTATTTACAACTTCCATTATATGAATATAAGTAAAAAAGATATTATGTTAAAAACACTTGTTCCAAACTGTTCTCATTTTTGTATTTAATGCATCAAACACTCCTGTGATTTTGTTAATTATTTTCTGGAACAAAATTTGTTGTTTCACAATATAATTTTTTAGGCAATTTGCAATTGCAAATTTGTTCTAATCGCCAATCATTTTTGTTGTACTATCAAATAGTTAGACATTTTTAACAATGCGGGATTTTGTTTCTCAATATGAATAATTTAAACATGGTTTAACTAAATACAAAACATACATTAGTTTTTAATTTATTTTACTAAAAAATGTATGAAATTATTATATAAATTAATGTGTGGCGATTAGTGACTGTCAATAGATAATTATTCAGAAATCGTGAGATGCGGTCTGGTGTGAAGTAGGTTTCAGAAAAACATTTTCTTTATCGTGCCAACGTTTCGATCTTTATTGAGATCATCTTCAGGGCCTGGGATTTACAAACATTGTTTACATTTAACAAATACATGTAATTATATTAATACATGTAAACAATGTTTGTGACTGTGTGTTTGTGGTTTTGTTCGTGTGCATTGACTCGGCTTTTTCATTATTTCTTGCTCCATTTATTATGCTTACATTTTAATTTCAGTTCTGCCTTGGAAGGCTGTCTGAATACAAAAAAGGTATATTATAACATAATTGTCGCAATTAGGGTAATATAAGTAATAGACAGAGAGAAACATGAATTTTTTGTACAACTGTACTTCAAACTAAATAATCGTTAGATGTTAACTATATTTGATTTTTATAAACATTGTTTTTCGGGGGTTCATAATAGCAGAGTTCATGTCAACCCTCAGGGTGTATGCGTTTTTTAAATAAAGCCCATTTGTAAGTATGTCGGGTTCCAATGCAGTGACCTTACAATGATTGAGGCCACCGACGCCCCCTATAAACATTGTTAATTGCTAATTAGTTGTAACAACTCAATTTTGGAATGAGGTAGTAATGCTCTCACACGAAGCAACGAGTGCCGAAATAGCATCGATACAGGTTAACGGTGAGGATGGTCAATGGACGATGTCAGAAACTGGGCATGCTAATATGGCCACAAGCTACTAGGCCCAGGTACTCTCCTACATGAATGCGGGTCAAAGGCGCTTCAATCGTCGAAGAGAATTATCGGGAAGGATTCGTGAAGAGAGATTGTGGGTTAAAGATTTGTGTTTGGATGATTTGAAGTGGGATTTGCTATACCACGATCTCGCTAGGTCTTTGCCAAATGGGTCACCTTCTCCGAGGATTCCACGAGTCGTCCTACGAGCGTGTTCGAAGATTTTTCATTTACCGGACTATCGTTTCTTTTCTCGTCATCGGCTACCGTCTCGTGTCTGTCTCGGAGAAGATATCGAGTGAGTGCTCACTTCAGACATCTTATTGTATGTTAAAGGCCTAAATTTTATGGATATAGTTTTAGTTTAGTTAGGATAAGTACCTTAATTTCATTTCGTTATGTGTAAATATATTTAGTTAACCTTCAATTTTATTTCTTTGTGTTGTCTTTAATTTCTTTACTAACTGAATAAGTAGTCTACAAAGAAGAAAGGAAACAAATAAACAGAATATAAATGCTTAGTGCAGAAAAAGATACATTTTTCTTAATTAAAATATCCAAAATTGGAATAATAAAAATAATTAAAAGAAAATGTCTGCTAAAGGTTTTTCTGTGTTTGCTTAATTTCCAGCCTAAATTTAAATGCAGCAATTTAACTTAGTTTTGCGTATTCTTATGAAAGTTGTCCACAATCGGCAACAGTGATAACTTTAGAAGTTTTTCCACTTTGAGATCCATAGGACTCGAGGGTCTTAACAACATCCATACCTTCAACGACACTCCCAAAGTCAACATGCCTGTTGTCCAGCCAGGCAGTCTTTGCAGTTGTAATAAAAAACTGACTGCCATTGTTGTTGGCTCCAGCATTAGCCATAGACAAGATGCCAGGTCCAGTGTGCTTAAGTTGGAAATTCTCATCGTTGAATTGACCTCCGTAGATTGATTTTCCACCGGTACCATTGTGTTTGGTAAAATCATCTCCTTGGCACATGAACTTAGAGATTACACGGTGAAAAGTTGAGCCTTTGTAACCAAAACCTTTCTCTCCGGTACAAAGACCACGGAAATTCTCTGCAGTCTTGGGCACTACATCACTTCGGAGCTCCATAACAATCCGTCCGATGGGCTGGTTGTTGGCCTGCATGTCGAAATAGACCTTCGGTAGAGACATTTCTGCCTTTTTGCTGAAGTACTCTAGCGTGGAAGTGAGAGGCGAGCGTCGAACAAAAATCCGGTTGAGGCACTTGACAGACAAATGAGGTTGAAAACATACATAAAAGCGTTAACTATTGTTCTTAATATTTTGGTCTGTTGGACGGTTAAGGAGAAACGTTTCGCTGTGCCGTATAGATCAATACCGTAAGTCTTTATAAGGCAATTAGGGCTGTTTATATTCTAGTTTAGTAGTGTCAGTTCGGATCGTTTGTCGAGAAATCATTTTAAAATTTTATATCTGCGGTTACAGTCTGTACGCTTTAATCGAGTGTGGGGGTTAAATGTCAGCCTTTTTTCTATACAAAGTACGAAATATTGTATTTGATTCGTATTCGGGATAGGATTATGGTTAGGGTAAATGTGAGGGAGGATTTTATTTTTTGTTTAGAGTGAAGAATATGTGTTTGGATTTTTTTTCGTTTACCTTGGTTTTTCCTGATTGAGGTATCAACAGTACGAGATGATTTTGTAGATTACGGATTGCTATGATTTTATCGTTATGAGGAGACAGGATAGAGACTGTTTCTGGGTGGGTAATTTATCAGTATAAATTGAATGTAATACAGGAGCAAGTGCGCTCCCCTGTGAGACTCCAGCTCGACAGGGAAAACGGAGGAAGGAGACGTAAAACTTATGGATCAGGTAATAAGTAGTGGGTAGGATGACCTTTAACTTACACATCAGCCCTCAGTGCTATTCTCTGTCAATGGTTTGAGATATATTCAGGAATATTCCAGGGCAATACTAGGTGAGGTTGTGATGGCTTCAACAACGCAATGTGCTTGGAGAACTGTCAAATGGAAAAATTTTCAGAATTAAAAAATAAATGGTTATTTGTTATCTTATTACTCAATAAGGTATGAGGTTCGAAAAATGGTCCACTTTAAGACAAATAAAGCTTTCTTTTTATTTAGAACCTAATTCGGATCATTTTAATCGCTAAATTCAGCCGTTAAACCAGTTCTTAATCAAATAATTTTCCTTAAAATGTATGGGTGTTATATTTTAGTTTGAAAGCGATGTATCACTATGCCGGTCTTATAAATTACAAGTTTGTGAAAATAATCGGTTAACGTTCGGGAACAATGTATATGTAAATCCGACTCAATAATTAAAACTTCGTAAATAAACTATGTTCCAACGGTTACGTGGGCGGTGGGAGAAAATGAATTACCCCCCTTTCTACTCGGTTTAATTTATTGCTCTAGCATTAATAAAAGGCCATGTATGAAGACATAAAGTGTCCTTATAAAGTTTCCCCCTGACACATTGATACATGGCTGTTATAAAGACGTATGAAGAAAATAAAGAATCGGTTTTAAACCGAGTTAAATAAAAAGAAGGCAATCAGAAAGAGTGTGTCTACCGTCCACCTCCGGTGCGGTCATACACTATTGAACAGACAAATGTGAACCGCCTATTTACCGATGTGATCTGGGAAGGAGCTATTTGTTAGAAGGCCGGCTCCATTTGTTTTCAAGGGTACTAAAGCTTGGCACACACTCGAAACAGGCGTCGTTATATGGACCCAACGGGGTTCCATCCCTGCCGTCGCCTCTAACGAAAATACGCTTTGGAACCGTTATGCTCGGGAGTGTTTGCTAGACATTATTGACTCGTCAAGAAATAAAGGATAATACAGGGATATTACTTAAAATACGGAATGAAAACGCTAAAAAAATATTCACACATAAAATACATGTCACAATTTTAAAACCACAAAATTTAACACTAGAGCTCATATAAACATACTAAAAACGTGTTTCCATTTAACGTTATATTTATTTTATTGAATGACTTAACAAAATTCCGTTTATAATGGAACGTTCCAAACGTTCCGAAATAGCATTTTTCTTATTCTATTAAACTAATATTGTTTAGCTTTGTTTTAAATATAGTATAATGGTTCTATTATTGTTAATGTTTTTATCGCACATTGTTGATGGTTGTATTTCATTGTGATTTGTTTCTCTTCTTTTATAATTAACTCACTAATTACCATGGTTAGTCTGGACAATTTTTTCAAACTTTTTATTTTGACAATTTGATTTTTTATGTATGAGGAATGAGTAAATACTATTTAATAAATAAAAACATGTACATACATATATGCAATATGTTCAATTTGAAAATTTGCAAAAAGGAGGGAAAATTGGAAAGGTGGGTTGAGATGGGAGGTTGGTATACGAGTGGATCGAAGTCACGATAGCTCTCAAGTGGTAGAGTAGCGGCGTATCTAGCCGAAGATCGTGGGTTCGAATCCCGCTCGTGACAATGACTTTTTTATCTAAAAAAACCCTTAATTAATTGAAATATGATTTTTGTCTTAACAAGTCTTAGATTTAGTAATTCTGAAGTTATTTCTGGAATGGTTGTTTGATCACCTTTTTCGCATGCCTTTGCTATGGCATACTTTCAAATTGAACAGAGGACTTATTCTTTATCTATAGTTTAGTAGAAAATCATTTAGTGGTAGATTAAAATTTAACTAAAATTTATCACCTGGTTTTGCTTCCTAGGCGTCGAGTAAATAAGCAATCGGATTCCGTCTTGTGAAACAAAATCCTTTGAAACTGTTCAATTTTTGTAGGAGTCATGTTCCATAAGCGTTCTATTCATGACAGGAGCCTCATATTTTTTAACTTTGTCGATGATTTATTTCCCTAGATCCTCCAGTTCATTTGGTTTAAGATCTTTATGCAAAATACTACAATATTAATCACCTTAGGCACCACGACCAATATTGATTTATCTCCATTATTATCTAGGGCTCTTGGTTAGGTAAAGGCTTTTTATCAGATCCCAAAGCTTTGTCGAATCCCACGTTTATCCTCAGCCTGCATAGACTTTCCCACTAACAGCGAACATGATCCAATGTTTCTTTTCATTCCTGGCAATGTCTTATAACCACATTCAAATTGGAGCGCGAGTGCACGAGAGTTCACTTGATGAGCGGCGGCTCCGGTAGACGAGGAACGCGTGGCGACGAGAAAGGTGGCTTGTCTTTTTTTGTGGTTTGCGCTCTCGTTATTTTTCCCCGGGGACGGTTAGTGGACGTTTTCTAGATTCACCAGCCTTTTTTACGGAGGGAAGAGATCTTTCTGCACGTCGGACTGCACAACGAGCTGCAGGGTAATCATTTGTCCAGAGAACATTTTATTTTCATTTGTTCACTTTTTTAATTGATTTTCTTTATTATTGTCGGCACAATGTTTTTTTTTTAATTTTTTATAAAAAGGCCTTAATCAGTATTGTTCATTTTTAAATATAGAAAAGATACTTATTTGTATTATTTTATTTTAATTTAAAAAAAAGGGAATTTATTCTGTTTGTTCATTTTTATTTTTTCAAAAAATAGAAAAAAAGGTGTTCATTTGTATTTAATTGCTGTGGTTATTTTTATTTCATCTCAAAGACCTGAAACAACTGTCCTGATCCCTCCACGACAGTTTTTATAAGATTTTTTTTTAAATTTTTATTTTAAATATATATTGTATTTCATAGTCTGGACGGGCTTATTTCGGCTTTTCTGAGTAATAAATATGCCTCCAAAGTCTTCAGTATTGTCAGTCAGGAGTCCAACTATGATTTTTGTCCTCAGGAGGGAAAATTCAAAAGGTGGTATAGAGATGGGAAGTTTGTGTCCAAGTGGACCGAAGACACGATAGCTCAAGTGGTCGAGCAGCGGCTTATTTAGCCAAAGGTCGTGGGTTTGAATCCCGACGTTGAAGTTGACACTAACTTTTTCATTTCAACCAATACCTTTTATATACATATAATTTTGTACTTACGGGATGTTTCTTTACTCTTTTTATTTGTGAGATAATGTTTCGATTAAGTTGTTTATAACTATACACGATTTCATACTTTTGTATAGTATCATATCATGTCCTGTTGTGGTCGTGATGAATAATTTGTAATTTGTTTCTTACCGAACATTTTCCCCTATCCAACGTATAGAATAATACACTCTGAAGATGGCACAATGCCACGACTGACTGACCAATCAAAATTAAATACCGTGAGAGAACTCGCGGGATTGGTTTGAACAGACATGTAAAATTTAAACTTCCAAAAAAAGGTACGTCGTTATAAATGAAAACAGAAATGATGAAAATGTGAGATTTGGCTGCATGGCCTGTTGGGATAATGAATATGAATTTTGGTCGTTACCGAACTTTTGGTCTGCCAATCTTCGCTGTGTTCTTCTGAACCAACTTGGTAAATTGAAACTTTTTCATTTCAACCAATATTTTACGTAAAGATTAATTAATTGAAAAAAGCATATATTTAATGTTTAAATGAGCCAAAGCTGAAATCCCAAATTTGAATTGCAGATAACATTTTTTTTCTAATTACATACTAACTTAGATTGATCATAAAAAAAATCATAAAATAAGCGTTTATTGTAAAATATTATTAACGTATGTATACTACAATATATAATTATGAAATTATTTTCGTAATTTGAAAGTCAGATATTAGAAATCTTGGTTTTACACACAATAATTCATTTCACTTCATGTATGATCTTAAATTAACTCTCGTATAAATAGATAATACTTAAAATATCAAATAATAGTAATTACTGCTACATTTTCTTGTTACTTTTGTGTTAGCCAAGCCTTTAAGTAGACTACAGCCATCCTCATCCATTCCGCTCTGTCCAGTGAAATTTTCTTCCCAGCAGCTCGTCCTCAGCAGTACCCCATTTCTTCCAACCATGATGATGATTTCATTTTGAGTTCGGCCCGTTTACTTTTATAAGCTCAAGTGTACTAGTCCAAAATCTTCTTCGTCCAACTCCCATCTCGCCTGTTGAACATGTCCAGCCCGCTTCCATTTTTTCCAACCTACTACGATTTCCTTCCATTTACTACCTTGGGCACCTTCATCTTGGTTTATTCCTTTATTCGTACGTTGATTTTTCTACTTTTTTGTTTTTAGTAGTCTCCTCATTGTTCTCCTCACAGTCTTTCGTAATTATAAATATCTCGTGTTTTAACCCTGGGTTGAGTAGTTACACTAGCTAGT